TGTATAGGAAACCACAGGAAAGGCAACTTTCACATGCAATTGAACCAGTGTACTTGTACAGGCTCCTGGCAAGTTCAACAGGGAAAATTGACATGAACAAGTTTGCACAGCAAATACTGAAGATACAAAGGCTTTATGTTTTTATTGGCCATTAGAGGGTTGCTACCAGCCCTTGGAAATTCTCATTTCTGTAATTTGAAGCATGTATATCTCACAAAGTCAAAGCAGAGGAGAATAAAGCAATGTAAAACCACTGCAGTTGCAGGGGAGTGGAGTCCCTGCTGCATTCCCCAAAAGCCACTGGGCTGTCCAAGATTTACGATTTGTGTCTTACTCATCTAAGGGAAGACTCTTCTCACTTCCTTCCACTGCTGGAGATGGTTTTCAATTAGTGAGCCAGGGTTACCTTGGCAGAACCAACAAGAAAGACCTCATTTGTGCAAATCCCAATACTGCAGCTCATTACTGGAAAGCCTGGCAGTTTTTAAACCTTCCTGGTTTTTGGAGATCATTTTTGGTCCAGAGCTGGTATGCACCCCCACACAGCAAATTTAAGCCTACTGGCAACAGATACACTTTTAAGTATCTTCCACAGATTCTTCAGAAACAACTCACATATGCCTATGCCCTCCCCAATAATTTCACGCTGAAAAACAGGGTCCCTCCCGATGGGATGACTGCAGTGTGAAACTTGAGCCCTGTCACTGCAAGCCACATCCACAACAGACAGCAGAAGCATCAGCTTTCCACAGACCTTCTGTACTCTGAATTACTGTGAGCTTGAAGTCAGAACAGGATAAATAACAAAACACAGCCTCATATCTACTACTCTACTCACATTTGCTCAGGATGACTCTGCTACAAAAGAAATGGCCATGTCAAGTGGAAATACTGAATACAGCTATTGCCTACCCTAAAAACTGCCATAATGTTTTTCCAAGATTCTCTCCAATCAGTATGGCAAGCAAAAGAAAAAGAGGCATATTTGGACAAGACACCAGAGAAGCCAGTCTGGAAGAGAAAAAAAAAATTACTAATAGTCTGAATATTCTGAAAACACATTCATCTTCCCCACCTCCAAAGGAAAGTTAATAGAACTAGCAAATGTTCACACTACATTCCTTTGAAAATAAATGTATACCTCCTCCACAGCATATGATGCAGGCCTAATAAAGAAATTAAAGTTTTTCAAACCATGTGTTTTCACACTTTTCTTTTATGCACACACCTGCCTGATGCAGGTGTGATTTCTGTCCAGACCACTATTGAAGTTTGGTGTTGTTGCTCAGGAACTTCCTTTCAAGTTCTGAGGTAAAAAAATCCAAGCATTCCCCTCACAATAACATAACTAAACATCAGCAATGGACTGAAACTTGCAAATGCAAACAAAAACTCTGAAGCCAGACAAGATGACCCCTCCCACACTACGTAGGGCACAAAACAGAAATCAATATTCCCTTTAGGCTACTCCCTGGTTTCAGTAGATTTAAATACAATGAGGGAAACTGCAAAATTCACATAACAAATATGGTTTACAAACTAACGGCTCTTTTTTTGGAGATGTGAACTTTAACACCATAATTTGTGGGTTGGAAGGACTACAAGGAAAGAGTTACTTGTACTGAATCTGTGGCTTCAGGGGGGAAAAAACTTTGTTTTGTTTTTTTTCAACGTCATGAAACTTCCCTCTGCTGTATAAGACACACATTTACATGTACAGCTTTGGTAGGCAGCAGGATGGGATGCCCAATACCTATTCCACCAAGCAGTTCTGTTAGCTCCCTGGAAGCCAATAAGCCTTCTAGTTACAAAAAAATATTGTTCCTAATTTGAAAGCTTTCCGAGCTGGATACCTCAAGGAGTATGCACCACTCTAAAAAATTAAAACATAAAATGTTCAGTAATGTCACCCACGTGGATCAACTTTGACAACCCAAATGAAACTGCAGACCAAGGAAGTATACAGTAACTCCATAAAGCTGCATGCAAACAGACACCTCAGCACCCAAAGTACATCCCACCTGTCTGCAGAGGCAGCAGCACCATCTGCTTAGTGGGTGCCAGGACTCCAGCCAGCCATGAGGACTCTGCTGCCCTCTCAGCCACTAGCCTGGTGCAGGACGTTAGCCAAGCCTGCACCTCCTTAACATCCCAGGGCACTCAGGCACAGAAAGGAAATTCCTACACTAATTCATGTAACAAGTGCAGAAGTTCATTAGCAGAGATTAAAAGATCTGTCTGCTTTCTCCTGCGAGAATCCCACACATCAAAAGAACCCCAAAACATTTTCAGTAAGACTACACTCCATCCCCAGGGGCTCATCACGTTCAGGCACACACAACAAAGGCTTTTCTGCACTTGCTGAGCTGAGCACCTTACAAAAATTATCCTGACCCATTCTCCAAGATGCAGTGGTTTCCAAGCCTTTCATCTGCAGGCCTCAGAAGATTTTCCAGCAGACATGCAACTACTGGCTAGAGTGGTTAGGGTAATAGATCCTAGGGGTTTTTCCCCCCATTCCTTAAAAGCAGTGAAAAGGCCACAAGCTGAGTAAGCCTGCATTTCTTGCAGTCTATTTTCACCCAACCTAAGCAATATTTAGCCTTGAAGAAGATGAGAATTTAAAAATTGACAAAAACTTTTGTCTGAAACCAGAGATTGTGTTTAATCCCACTAAAGTATCAATCAATTGCAAACAAAATCTTCTACCAGCGTGAGCTGTGCCTCTTTAGTCCAGAAAAGAGAAGAGTGAGAGGTGATCTCATTAATGCATATAAATATCTCAAAGGTGGGTGCCAAGAGGATGGTGCCAGACTTTTCCATGATGCCCAGCGAGAGGACAAGGAGCAATGGCCATAAACTAAACCACAAGAAGTGGCAGAGCACTGGAACAGGCTGCCCAGAGAGACTGTGGAGTCTCCTTGTCTGCAGACATTCAAAACCCACCTGGATATGCTCCTGTGTTGACCTGCTCTAGGTGACCCTGCCTTGGGATGGGAGGTAGACGAGATGATCTCCAGACATGCCTTCCAAACCTAGCAATTCTGTGATACTATGGCAGAAAAATTGTCAGTTTCCTCTTCAGTGGAGGAATTTCTTCCTAATTGTAATATTAAAGGAAAGAAAGTCATTAAAACTCAAGCCAAAATTGTTGTTGTGTTCGTGAAGTAATATCCAAAACATTTTTCTTCTCCTATTTTCACTTGAATTTTCACTGACTTTTTACAGCAGAATAACATTTATTTACAGAATAACATTTTCTGGAAGTGACTTCTGTTTTTCTGGTCCTATTTCCCCAAGAAAACAGGAATAATTGGGCTGCTCAGAGGCTAGTCCAGCTGAGTTCTAAATATTTACAAGAACATCCCAACCTCCCTGGGTAGCCTGTTCCAACACCTGACTTCTCTCACACTGAAATCTTTTTTTCCTGATATCTCATTGGAATTTCTCTTGTTGCAACTTGTGTTTGTTATCTCTTGTCCTGCTGCCTCTCCATACTCTCTCACTAGTTAACTGAAGACAAGGGATAGTTTTCCCATAAGGAAAAGCAACACACACACTAAGGGCTGTATTCTTAAAATATTCAGAAAGTATGGACACATAGAAAAGGATCTGCAGCTTATTTTTCTGAAATACATGAACAGTATTTTTGTTTGTAACCTAACATTGTCTCTTAAAGCTTGTACCTCTGCAGCATGTACCACCAAAGCCTCACCTCCACACACAAGTAAAGCAGACCAGCCAATGTGGCAAAAACTCACACCACAAATTATTCTGTAGTAATCCTCCTGTATTGAGAAACGCTCGGTATTTGTTCCCTATTTCATATCACAGAATGGAACTATATGGTCTTTAAGGTCCCTTCCAATCTAAACCCATCTCGCCGCTATGAGCAGGACCCACCTTCCACTAGACCAGGCTGATCAAATCCCCATCCAGCCTGGCCTTGAACAATATCAAGGATGGGGCATCCACAGCTTCTCTGGGCAACCTGTTCTGGTGCCTCAGTACTCTCATAGTGAAGAATTTCTTCCTAACAGCTAAACGAAATCTGCCCTCTTTCAGTTCAAAGTCATTTGTCCTGCCACCACCTGAATTAGTCCTGCCAGCCTAAGGTACTTACTCAACCTCACGATAAACTCTTTTTCACATAACTCTGCTGAGCAGGGAAGCAACATTTAGCGATGTGGACGCTGGCTACAAAGAAAAACCACGTGAAAACTTGGGGTCAGCATGAGGGTGAGAACTGCAGGCCATAGCGTGGGGCTTACACCCGCTCCACCGGGGCACCTCCTTCGGGGTTCCGCAGGCAACCAGGTTGGCAAAGCACCCGGGTGAGCTCGAGTGTTCGAGCGCTGCTGCACTGACCCTGCTAAGCACACCCTTCTCTCCAGTCTCCAACCTCCTGCACAAGGATGGATGCTTGGTTCACAAAGTGCATCTGGAGTTTTTGGTTTTGTTGGGGGTTTTTGTTTTTTGGGGTTTTTTTTGAACAGCATCATCTGCTGTGGGCCATCGGCACACCGCTTGTCCTCTCCGGGGCACAGCGCTCGGCGGGGAGGCGCTGACAGCTCAGGGCGGCTGTGCCCGAGCTCCCCCGGTGCGCGACCCGCGGGCAGCGAGCGCTGCCCTGCGCTCCGCCCCGCCTCGGACCGACCTGGCGGCCGGAGGAGCCGGCACACCGCGCTCTGCCACGGCCACCGGGCACACAAAGAGCCGCCCGCGGGCGCACAGCGCTCCTGGGGCTGAGAAAGTCCCGAGGGGACTCCGCTTTGGCCAGCAGGAACTTGTGGCGGGGCGCGCCTCACGCTCGGTCCCGCTCCGGTGTCAGCGCTCACGGCGCCGCGTCCCGCCTGCCCAGCCCGCCCGGCAGCCCCGGCCTCTGGCCGCCCCAGCCCCGCGGCCGTGTCCCCGGTGCGGAGGGAGGGAGGCCCAGCCCAGCCGCCACGGGAGGTGAGGGAGAGCCGCAACAAGTCCCCGCCGCCGCCGGCCGCCCTTACCCAGACAGTGCCGCAGGGCCAGCAGAAAGTGCGGGGGGCCCCCGTTGAGCTGGTAGAAGAGGGAGCCCAAACAGAAGAGCAGCAGTGTGGCCATGCAGAAGATGTAGTCGCGCAGCGAGAGGAAGGGCAGCAGAGAGAGGGGCCGCCGCCTCATCAAGCCCCCGCCCTGGCCCGGGCCCCCTCCCGCCGCCGCCACCGCCGCCACGGGGGGCCAGGGCGCCGGGCATTCCCCGCCGCCGGGCTGCTGCTTCTTCTTCATCCTCCCCTTCGCCGCCGCCGGCTCACGCAGCCCGCCGGGGGAAGCGCATCCTCCATCCGCCTGCCCGGCTCCGGCTGCCCGCGGCCGGGAAAGTTCCCGGGAGCTCAGGGGATCCGTCCCGTCCCCATCGCCGGCTGTCCCCGGCTCCGAGTCAGGCGAGAGTCCCCGGCGCTCCTACGGCGGCGGCGGCTGCTGCTGCTGCTACGGAACGCCGCTAAGGGGAGGGGAAGGAGGTGGTCACCATCCCGCTCCCTGGGGCTCCTCTCCTCCTTCTCCTCCTCCGCCGCCGCTCTCGCTCCCTCTCTCCGCTCGGCCTCTCGCCCCGGTGTCAAGTTACAGCCAGCGCTCCGCCGCCGGCCGCCTGCAACTCGCGGCCGACTTATGCGCGCCGCCCGGCCCCGCCGCCCCCCGCCCGGCCCGGCCCCGGAGCCCGCCCACCCCGGCCCGCCCCGGCCTCCGGTCCCGCCATGCGCCCGCCGCCTCTGCGCCAGCGACCCCTGCGGGCGCCGCCGCCGCCCGGCCCCGCCGGCACAACGCACCTGCCCCGGGCCGCCGCGCCCGCACATCGCCGGTGCCGAGCACGGTCCAACGCGGCGAGAAGGTCCGCTGCCTTAACATGGTGTAACATCGTTTGTGGGGGACGAAAGGGACCATCGCTCTTCTCCTTGCAGCCTTGCTGGGGCGATTGAAGCAGAGCTGTTGCCTACTGGGGACAAGGCGTTAGACAAGTACAGAAATTACAAAATTAAGATTGCACACAGAACCTTAATTTGACCCCATTGTACATATGGCTTATGATACAGTCTCTAATTACTCGATCATGCTATTTTTCCTAGACAGCCTCTGGTGAGTGAATGGCATTCAATCAGCGCTGAGCTGGGTAATAGCTTCATCCTCTTTATACAACATATGTCCCCAATGTGTCCTGATGGCTTATTTGGAGCTTGTTCTTGGACATTGTCTGATGTAGAAATACATTTCATTCCCCATGCAGCTGTATTGCCAGCACAGCAGTGGAGGGAGGAAAGCTTGGGGTGGTAATGCTGGTTCACCATTTTCTTTTATTGACCTGGCTGGAATTGGGGATTTCCCAAGATCCTGCTCATGGCATCATATGAGACTCTTCATTTCTAAGAAACAGAAAAATTCTATTTGCTGTGGTTTGTAAGAAAAATTGGAAATCAGAAGCCAAGTGTAACTCACCATGTAAGAAATTAAAAAGCAATCACACTTTTCCTTTTAAGGCTTAGAAAAGAAGTATTCCAGTTTAGGGGACCTGACTTAATCTTTTCACACTTAGAGCTGGAAATTTTTCTCAGGAGACTGCATTCAGATGTTTTTGCCACTTGCCCTGAAAGGCTTGGGTAAATGCTGCCTATGCTACTGACTTTGATTTTTTTTGTTGGCAACCAGCAGCAAAGGGTAAAATACAGAAATTAATCTTCCTGGTGTGGATAAGAGGATGAAGACAGAGTCTAACAATAAAGAACCATTCTTGTTGCATTCCTTGATAAAAAATACTCTCATATTGCCTGAATAAACAGACCTGCTTAGTTTGGAGAGGAATCTCCTAGTTTTAGTTACACAGTTCTACAACATCAATGCACAGATGTTCCACAGTCTTATATAAAACCTGTAGCAAAGGCAAATTGAGGTATGACATATCATTTCTGAAAAAGAGAAAGTAACAGAAAAAAAAAAAATAAGCCCACTCTGGGCTAAGCCTTTAGGGCTCCAGTTCACTTGAAAACAAAAATAGCCAACACCTTTCACCAGATAAAGTCATAAATCTAATTGCATGGTTAAACTTCTTAATTCTCATGAACATTTCTTTGAAACACTTAGGGAGTACTGGGGGCCTACTTACCATACTCTGCTTCCATTAATGTTTTAATGTTTTATACTCCTTTGAATACTTCAGTATCTACCTTGTATGGATACCAGTATCATCTTGCTTGGATGACAATATTGCAGATTTGGTTAATAGTGCTAGTTGCTGTTGCAGATGACAAAGAGATAAGCTCTTACACTGAATGTTTGAGAAAAATGGATGCTTTGATGAGAAGACAGACAACACCTGTAAGGTGAATCAATAAATCTTTATTTTTCTGATTGCAAAGAATGTCTTTGATCTCTAGGCAGAGATTTAAAAAAAAAGGATGGAAAAAGAGACCAATCAATGGAACAAAATTTAAGTGGGAAGGCTGTATTGTTGAGAGTTCTTGCCATATTTCTAAGCATCAACAGATAAAAAACCCCATTTCTTGGGAGGAAGAAGAAATAGAAATCTCCGTTGTTGAAACATATGCTTAAACATGTAAATTAGCTGTAAAATTATTTACTTTCATATATGTGAACTGTTCCACCTATTGTTACCTATTATTACAACAAGAGCTCGGGCAATGTGCAGGAAAAGAAATAAAATTTACATTGTGCCATATCTTGATACACTGAAACTGTTTTTCCTATTTTTATTTTTCCCCTATTATTCATCCACTTTAAAAAAAAAAAAGTGTGATTTTGTGTGCACAGTGTAAAGCAATTTTTATATATATATATCTATATAATATATATATATATCTCCTTAAATTATTATGTTCTGTTCACACAAAAACTCCCAAAGAATTCAAAACACAAGCTGCACAAGAAAAGAATATTATGATTTAAAAGCCAAGTATTGACACTTACTTAAGGGTAGGCCAAAGGTAAGAGTTTTCAGACAAGCTTGTTTTGACTTGTAGAGGGTATGACTTAAAATTTTAATTGTGTGATGTTCCTGTTTTGTTCAGAGGACCACTGCCTTGTAGAGTGCATGGGACAGACACTGTGCAGCCTTTCAGTTTATGTTTAATCTCTTTGTTCAGCATATGTCCTCAAGCTTTGTTTAAAGCTGTTTAATCCTGCTTGTTATGTGGAATTATTGACATCGTAGCAGGCTTTTCTACAGCATTTATTGTTACAGTACCTTGAGCATACAAGGAATGCCTATGAATTACATTCATGAGGTATAGGGAATATCAACATTTTACTTATTGGGAATTGAGACAGAGAGATTAAGGTTAAATATGCCTATTCATTTTGGTTGCCAGCCTTGAGGTGACTGGGGTTTGCCTTGGTGAAATAGTTAGCATGACACAGTGCTTTGTACATTTGACATCAGATGCAGCTGTGAATGCCAACTACTACATATCAGACCCCAGGCTCTCAAACCTAACAGCAAGTGTAAAAAGAGCACTCGGTGGCCACCTGTAGTTCAAGTGATGCACCTGACATCATGTAGGAGAGCTCTGGGGCTAGCAGGCACAGAATCAATCATTTTCAGAGTGGTATTCACTGAGCAGTCCTCATCCTCTGCTTGCCCTGACCTTGTGTTGCTGTTTTTCCTCACCCTTCTAGATCTGGTCTCAGCTCCAAGATTTTTGTCCAAATCTGTTTTCTTCCATGACCTCATCCAGACTAGGTCCAGCTTTTGCTCAGACTGAATCCCTCTCCTGGCTGCAACAGTTGCAGCAAGGAGGACATGGTGAGCACAGAGGCACTTACCCCAGGGCTGGAAGAGGATGCTCCTCTGTACAAAGGAACAGAGAGCATAGCTGCCTCAAAGTTCCAAGTGAGTCCACATTCAAACTGTGCTAGATATTCCCATATTGAATCATAATTACAAATGCATGGATTTAGAAACACATTCAACGAGCGAGATAGAGTTCAAGGAGGTTGTATGTCTGGCAATTATTTGCAGAGAGACTCATTTGGCCAGATCAGGATGGGTTACCTATTGGCTGGTCAGATCTGCTAGGCAAAACATATTTTTCTTATTCCTAGGAACATCTGAACACCTTTTTTTACATTATTATTTTCTAAGTAAATTCTTGAAGTAATCAAAATTTCTCAGCTGTTATATTTCAGAGTTGGCAGTTGGCAAAGGCATAAATAACTAGAAAGGAATGAGATACAGACTGGGCCCTAGTTTTTACAAGATGGTAAGGATAGAAGAAATCTAGATATAAGGCTTCACTGAGTAAAGGTTCACTGGTATATAGAATGACATAATGTCATCTGGGAAGCACTCATGAAAGATTTCAGATTTCAATTCCTCCAGGACTCTGCAATTCAGAAAGGGTTCAGAGTGTAACAGAGTAATTGATGGCAACTGTGCAAGCTTTATTTTGCTTTATTCAGCAATAGTTGATAATTTGATGAAGATGAAATAAGGATGCACCATACTTTTTCATTTAATTCATATAGAATTCTTTCAAGTTTAATCTGCCTTGGCTGAACTGGAATTGCAGCTCTGTGCTGGTGGTATTCATTTCTGTCCTTTGTGGAAGGTTCAGGAATATATTTGCCTATGAAAAATATGATAGTAAATATCAGAAGACAGGGAAATGAGCTTGTGTGCCAGATTGATAAAATTTAGTGACACTCTGATGGAGCAGGTCACTGCAGAAGAGAAATTTATAATTTGTAATTGAAATGGTACTTGGAATTGCCTTAGCATGTTCTATCAATATCACTTGGAGTATGATGGATTTGTCACAAGGAATTTATATTAATCCCTTAGCATAGCTGGCTGTCTCCATCAATGTGCTACAGGGCCATCTTAAGTCCTGATACCATTGTTTTTATTTGTTTGGTTAATTTTCTCAGAAAATGGGTAACAAGAGAATTCAGCCAGATTGCTTTCTGTTTTAGTCAGCATGCATATCATTCAGAAGGGGCAATCAAAGCTAGATAGAAAAGAGGATGCTCTATAACATATAGTCTTCATAATCAATCCTTTCCCCTCATAAATATCCACTCAGAACACCCAAACTCTGTTCCCTTTGTCTTTGTGTCCTCTTTGTATTGATTTTCAAATAGCAGTCTAATTCCTGCATTTGTCTGCAGAAACTACTAATAGAAAGGCAGAAGTTTCTGTGTGTAAACATGACTTTTCACACACCAGACCCATTAAAAGCTTCATTTGTTTAGACAGTTAACAGAGTAACACCATATGAAGGACTGGACAGATTTAGACACGTAAAGATGGAGAGGGTCACACGGGGAAAGCACAGTACTGGTGCTAATTAGGCACCAATTAAAGTAGACAGGCAGGAATGTCTAAATCCAGGAAATGCAAAATATGATAGAAACACACAGTTAC